GAGTCATTCGGTTTGGGAAGCGAAGAAAATTGAACCCTTATTACATCGAGCCATTTGAAATTCTAGAATGGATTGGCCCTGTAGCATGCCATCTTGCACTTCCACCAGAATTGTCCAATGTTCATATTGTGTTTCATGTTTCAATGTTTCGGCGATACCTTCGAGATTCAGAGCATGTCATTGATCACGAAGACCAAGAAGTTCAAAAAGATCTCTCTTATGAAGAACAATTAGTGCAGATCCTTAACCGTCGTGATTAGATTCTTCGAAACAAGACTATACCTCTTGTAAAAGTCTTATGGCGAAATCATTGTGTCGAAGAAGCTACGTGAGAAATTAAGAATCAAATGCGAGCTTGATATTCACATCTTTTTCGAAAACCAAGGCACGACAAGTTTGGAGAGAAACTTCTATTTAGGAGGGAAGAAATGTGACACCCAAAATGTTTAGTTAATTTTAAACACTGCGTTAATATCAACTAAAAATAAATAAATAAATATATATAATATTTAATTTTATAATTGTATGTGCTCTAATGTAAATTAATTTTGAACTATGAATAATTGTGTATTGCCACAAAAAAAAGATGTAATTATTTAGATTTGTGGGCCAAAGGGTAATTAGGCTTAAGTTTCATGAGTTATCCATTTGGAGTTAAATCTATCTAGGAACAAGATGTGGTAGTTGTTGTTGCTGCTGCAGCAATGTGGGAAGCCGATTATTAGCCTAATTGATGAAGTTATGGAAGCTAATTGATGAAAGCCTCGGTATAAATAGTGAGTTTATGCTCACAAGTTGAGGACAAGCAAAAGAGTAATAAATTACAGACAGGCAGAGACAAAGAGAGGCTCATAACAGAAGTAAATAGTAGGAATCTACACTAAGCTGAGTTGTATTATTATCTTGATTAATCATGAATTGTTTTATTATTTTATGCAAATTATGTTTTATAAATTATATTAACATTTCAACTATGTTATTTATTTTATGAACCCTATTTGCTTAAAATGGAAACCCATAGATATAATTGTTTATTAAATGTGTTTTTGAACAATTATTTTATAAGTACCACCACGAAGGTTTTATGCCTTGGGAGACTTAAATAACCATTGGCCATATGAATTGTCACTTTAGTGACCCTCTAACAGTCTCATGCTTTGGGGGATTTAAATAACCATTGGTCCTGTGATAGTTACTTTGTAACCCTTTGTCTGTTATGAATCCATTGACGCTCTATTTTGCTTTGTACCGTGGTTATGATTATTTGCTTTTATGATTTTTGCATTATGTTTCTGTTGGTTAAAATGATTTATTTACTTGAACCAAACTACTCATTATTTAGCTTAAATAATTATCCATGGTGATTTGTATACCCTTATGTTCTTAATAATATTCTTCATTCTGCCATGTGTTTATAGCTATTAAACCCTTTCAGGTGAAGAAACTTAAGGAAGAATTATTTTACCCCATTAATCAAGATCAAGACTTGAGATAAATATTGTGTTTTTTTTCTCCCTCTTTCTTTGTTATTTGTAATTATTGTCTAACTCATGTTACATAAATAAAAGTTCCAATATATGGTTTAAATATTTATTTGCATCTTTTATTTTATCTCGTTGCATTATTTAGTTGTGTAATCTAGAATTAATCTTTTGTAACTTTATAAACCAACTAGTTGCGACATTCAGTCCTAAGCATTGGGGTTGGATCGTGACAGTAGTGGTGAGAGATGGTGGTGGTTGCTAGTGAGGAGTCACTAGGATGGCTGTCGGAGGAAGCTACCGGGCAGAGTAGAGGTGGATGTGGAGGTGGAGGTGGGGTTGGGGTTAGAGTTAGAGTTGGAAGGATAAAGATGGGGTCAAAAATAGAAATTGATATTAGGGCAAAATTATAATAATAATAAAAAAAAGATATGGGGGCAAATAGTAGCCCTCTATATGTATCACGTAATTATTTTTTATTTTTTGATTTTTTTTTTGCATTGGGTTTTTTCATTAACTGATGTAAATATTAGTTAGTCTGTCATATTTTTTCATGATAAAAAAATAAAAAGATGGCTTGCCATACTTAGATTCATTATTTGAATTTTGATCTAGAAACACTACCAAAGTGTTAATAGGTTTATAACTGAGGGCACAAAGATTAATAACCAAAGATGCATCTACCATAGCATTTTTCATATAGATGATCTAGTTTAGAATTTGTGTCATTTTAATTTTTAATTTTTCAATTATTATATATTTGATCATAAATTTTAAATTTCATTTTAAATAAAGATAATAGAAGGTACCGTTACTCTATTTTAAAAGCAAATTCGTTAATTTTAATAAAATATAAACTAATTTGACAAAAATGAATGTCAAAAATTATTTTTGAATTTTTAAAATTATTTCTATCCCACCAAAAATAAAATTATAAATCTTTTACATTTTTATTTTTTTTATCAAATTAATTTTTGGTATGTGTTTGGATAATAATCATGTGATGTGTGGTTTTTCCTGATATTTTCAGATGGTTATCATATAATAGATGGTTGTATTTGTTATTAACAGACACTTTTGGTTGATTATTATGTAATGGAGGGTTATTAAGTTTTTAATGTGTAATATATTTAATATATGAATTGTTTTTAGTATTGGATTTTTTGATTTAATGGATTGGTTTAATAAAAATATCAAAATTATTGTCATATTTGACTTTTGAAAAAATAGAAACTAATTTAACAAAAAAAATATCAAAAAATATTATTTGAAAAAATTATTTCTACCCTTCTAAAAGATAAAATTATATAAAAATAATTTATTTAAATTTTTTTTTCATCAATTTAAATTTTAGTTTTTTTTAAAAAAAATCTGAAAAGAAAACCAAAAACAACTTTATAAACAAAAAAGTTTCAGCATTATTCATTAAAAAAAAAAGTCATTCGATTTCAAGTAACATACAAGTTAACTAATACAAAATAAATTGTATAATGATTTTACTCTTGAAAATAGATCGTTTGCAAATGAAATATCTTTGATTGTCTTTATTTGAAACATAATTTAAAATTTAAGATCAAATATATTACAATTAAAAAAATTAAAGATTAAAGTGACCCAAATTTCAAAGGGAAAATTAGTCTAAAGTCTCTCTCCAATTTTTAGTAATGGAAGAGGTTCATAATATTATTTTTTGATATCTAAGGTCCCTCCCATCTATCACAGAGAAATTTGATATATATCCCATGTCTCCGTCCAGTTCCACTTGATATAGAGCAAAAGACCGTCACCGTTTAGTTCGTTGACGAAACCTAGGGTTTTCTTTTTCCGATACTACAGAGGCATGAAATCTCCGTTAGATTTGGGAATCGAGCAAATAATCGACCCGATATGAGGAAGTTCCAATCAAGAAGCTTTAGGGATCGAATAAGACGGCCTTGGAGATTCAACCACCATTTGGAGACTAGAAAAATCGAATTTCTCTGAGATTGGGGGAGTTTTGAGAGGATTTGGAGGAGAAGCTCATCGGAGAGGCATGTCAAACCTGTCAGAATTCTGGTTTCAGATCTGGAGTTAAGGAAGATATTTCAAGGTGTAGTAATGGCTTTTCAACTGAGCAAGGCTTGAACAAGAAATTCTGCTTTGATTAATCAGAGACTCCAGCCTTTGTTCTGTGGAAAGAATGCAAACTCGTGTCATTGCGACAACTTAACTTTGCTAGGACTTCTGGGGCAGAACGAAGGGCAAGCAAGTGGAACTGTATGATAGTGTTGTACAGAGCAGCAATGGCTAGAGGAAACCTGAAGCAGAGCTGCTTGAGGAGGAAGAAGTTGGGTCTCTTGATATAGAGAGAGAGAGAGTAGGCTCAGATTTTCTTCAACGAGAAATTATTCGGTGGATTGATGGCGTTGAATTTGTTGAGAAACATTGTTTCGCCTCGAAACTCAGGTGTTTTGTTGAACCATAAACTAGTTTCATCTCTCTCTTTCTCTGTCTTTCTCTCTCTTGAATTTTGATTTTCTGAACATGTTTGATATTACAATGAATCTATTTATTCATAATTTTTTAAATTTTTTTGGTGATCATTTGGATAGTCAATCTCATATTCAAAAAGATAATTGCCCTGTTTTTTTGATGATTAATTTCTCTGGGTTGGAGGGCGATTTTCTCTGAGTTTGAGTAAATTTTTCTGGAATGGATTAAATTTCTCTGGTTTATATATGTGATTATTGTATAAATAGAAGGGGAAATTTCTCTGGAGAATGGGAAGGTTAAGGGAAAGTCAGAGAAATTTTCAAAATTTCTCTAAAAAATTCAGAATTTCTCTGTTGAGATTTTCACTATGACAAAATAGGTAGAGTTGAATTTGCTGTTATATTGATTTGACAAACTGCACCAGAGAAATTCTCTTAGTCCAGAGAAATTACCTTCCAACCCAGAGAAATTCACAAAAAGTCAGTGAAAATTCCCTTCTAGCTTAGACAAATTCACAAAAACTCAGAGAAATTTAGAATTTTCTCTGAAATGCGTCTAGAGATATTCTCTGGATCGAATTTTCTCTGGATTGATGTTGAGGGACCTTAGACATTATGAAAATATTGAGTGTCCTTTATGCTATAAAATCATAATGTTAGGGACCTTAAAAAAAAACCCCAATTTCAAATTACAAAAATTACATCAATAAAAAGTTAAATAAAATTATTTTATTTTTAAATTGAGAAATTTAAATTTTATTGAATTTTATTAAATATAATACATAATTAAATAGTAGAGGGTCAAAATGATCATTTTCGCATCTAATCTCAACAGTGGATAGTCCCCACTTTCTGTCCTACCCCCAGGACACCATAGTCTCCCATATGGGGACATAGAATCCGGCCGGACATAGAGTCCGACGAACTAAAAAAAAATCAAACGACGGATAAGAAACACTATTTGAATTACAATCCAAATAGTGGATAGTCCCATAGGCCCCAATCAAACAAGGCCGTACTCTACAAAAGTATAACGCGGCTTCTATGCTCTGTGCCTCTCTACCGTGTTCTCTCTCTCTCTCTCTCTCTCTCTCTCTACCTCACACACACATTCTCTCTTTCTGCACATGCAAACACTCTTTTCCTCTTCTTCTGCATATGCACATTCTCCCTAAACCACAATCTCTCTCAGCCTCTTCTTACTTTTTCTCGCTACACGACAAAATCACCTGTGTAAAGTTTGGAACTCGAATCTGTGGTAATCTGTAAAATCCTTTATCTGAATAGCATTTTCAAATGTGTATATATATACATGTAGAATGATCTTATTATGGTTGAGCTGTGAGTTTTTGCAGTGTAAAATCAAGAATGTGGAAGCTTAAGATCGCGGAGGGAGGGAGCCCATGGCTTCGGACACTGAACGATCACGTCGGCAGGCAATTCTGGGAGTTCGATCCCAAACTCGGATCCCCCGAAGAGCTCTCGGAGATCGAAAAGGTTCGCGACAACTTTCGCAACAATCGTTTCCAGAAAAAGCACAGTGCAGATCTGCTCATGCGCATTCAGGTTCGATTAAGATAGATTCTCTAAACTCTCTCTGTCTCTCTCTTTGGATATTCGATTTCATCCAGAAATGTCTGTGTTTATTATAAATACTATATATTTTTAATATGGACCCACTGTAATTTAAAGTCTTTTCAGTATATTCGGTGGTATGGCATGGCCTTTCGGTTGTGTGATTGATTGTGATGATCCAGTGGTTTTCTGATTTACAGACGGTGACAGTACAATTTAGGGGTCGTTTGTGATAACCTAAATAAGTGTTTTACAAAAAGATGTACAGAAAAATAAAGGGATGATGCGATGAAAAAAAAGATAAAAAGATAAAAAGTGTGTACTTAGATGGGCAAACTTGGCCTTAATTTTAATTTTAATTAGGAAATTTGGATAGTTGAAATGGGGTTACTGTACTGGTGTGGTTAGCTTGATTTGATTGGTTCAGGTAGGTGTGTAGTCAACAACAACGACAACAGCAACAACTTTAACAACAAAAACAACTAATTCATTAACAGAACAACCCTGTAATTTTAATTGTGAGTTATGCAAGCAGCTCCCCCCAAATGACAGTCTCTTTTGTATGAAAATTGACATTTAATCATTGTTTATTTTACTTGAACTGTTGGCGAACCACCGAATAATTGTTTCAAACGTTGCCTCATGTGTACTTGGTTTTCTCCCTAATATCTTGGATTTATAATTTTCATATTCTAGTCTTTTTTTACTTCAAATGAGGGAAAACAAAAATCATTACTGTTCGGTTTGATTTTTTATTTATTTTTTATATTATTATTTTTAATTTTTGTTGCTATTGGCTTTCAAAGTTGTTTGATAACTCTATTTTTTATTTTTTTCCCCCTTTTTTGAAGTATTAAAATTTGAATTAGTTTCTGAATCTTGAATTGTGAAGTATTAATTTTTTTCCTCCTTTTTCTGTTCATTGTCTGGGAAATCAAAAGGTGATTATTTTTCAACGTCTGACTTAGCTGGCAATGGTGAATATCATAGATATTCACTGCTTATGCAATTATATAAAACTGTACTACTCGGGAAAAACAAAAAAAATCAACTAAATATGCTTTTAATTTGTTCACTGTAAGAATCTGATTGACTGACTTTTCACTACTTTCCTTTCCTTTCCAAAATGTAGTTTGCCAAGGAAAATCCAAGCAGGTTACTCCTACCACAAGTCAAAGTGAAGGATAGAGAAGATATAACTGAAGATCAAGTAATGACCACATTAAGAAGAGCTATCAGTTTCCATTCAACACTTCAGGCTCATGATGGACATTGGCCAGGAGATTATGGAGGTCCTATGTTTCTAATGCCTGGCTTGGTAAATGTTCTTTTGCCTCAGTTAACATTTCTACTGCACCATCCATTGAAAGTGGGTTGTCTAAAGTGCAATTGTAATTTTGTTCTTCAAACACACAATGGTTCTTACCATACATGTTAGTAGTTTGGTACGTAGCTAAGTTGGTTGAAGCAAAGGGTTTATATGTGATTTGGATATCTTCATGCTCATTGATGTACAGGTTATTACTCTGTCTATTGTGGGGGCACTGAATGCAGTCTTGTCCAAAGAACATAAACGTGAGATATGCCGTTATATTTACAATCATCAGGCAAGGACGGTTTGATATTAGCATTTGAAACTGTTATGAATGTGGTCTATATTCATTTTTCTGTAGGATAATATTCAATAATGTTTTCCTGGATTTTTTCTTCTCCAAGTTTCTCTTCAACAGGATGAGCTAAAATTTCAAAATGTTGAAATATGTAATTACAGAACATTGATGGTGGGTGGGGCTTACACATTGAGGGCCCAAGCACCATGTTTGGTACTGTCTTGAACTATGTTACTTTGAGATTGCTCGGTGAAGGTGCTAATGATGGGCAAGGGGCAGTGGAGAAAGGACATAAATGGATTCTAGACCATGGTGGTGCCACTGCAATAACATCATGGGGGAAAATGTGGCTTTCAGTTGAGTTTTGAACCTTTATCTTGTTCGTTTAAGTGCTCAAGTGACACAGTATTTGGCTGTGCTTGGCATTTGTTTGATTACCGTTGTATTCCTTGATGGTAACAGGTGCTTGGAGTATTTGAATGGTCTGGAAATAATCCTTTGCCCCCTGAGATATGGCTTTTGCCTTATGTTCTCCCAGTCCATCCAGGTTAGTGATCATTTATGCATTTCTTTTATGTAAATCTTTCATTTTCTTTTTGGGTAATAAAAAACTATACATTTATCCGACAATGGAAGCCATTAATTCTTCAACGTATTTATCCAACAACATCCATTCAGATTCAGAGTAAGTGCATGAGTAAATGATCAAACACAAGGACTACAAAATTTTATATACAGTAGAACAACTTGTTTGTTCTTTCAAAGCTGAATATGTGCAAAACTTTTAAACATCAAGCCTTCTATTCAATAACTAGACATACAAGCCTCCAAGTCTATTCACATATACACACAGCTTGAATCATAATGGCACCTACACATATATAGGGGAGAGGGGTGAGCCAAAGCCCAATAAATCGTATGAAGTCAAGGCTTCAATTGGAATAAGTACCATCATTCTATTGAAAATAACGTAATTGAACAAAGCTTTTAATTAGCTTTGAAACATATTAATGTCTTATACATTTCCAAAGCATGATAATGACCATCCAACAGTGTGAACTAAGGACTTACTAGTCTACCAGTTAACCAAAACCACATGCATGTGGCAAAGGAGATTTCAACCATACACTACTAGTCTGCTTACTGTTCCCTAGTAGTTGGTCCTACCGAGGATGCCATTTCTGTAATTCCTAACGGATTTAATCTTAGGATATTCATTGATAACAAACATTTCAATGTTGTTTGTAGCATAGCATAATTTGAGTTCTAAAATAATGGTTCGAAACATGACTTTGATGGAATACTACTTGCCTTAACTCTTCCTATATGAAGTGTTAGTTTCTATAGTAAGTCAACCTACATAGGCATGAAAAATACAATGCATTTGATGATTTTTGCTCTAAACGTAGTAAAATTAAGTGTACATACATGTTAGTTGTATTTTATTTTTTTATTTTTCAAAACAAGTCATTTTGGAAGATCCGTGGTTTCTGGAAATCTCATTTTCTCACTGTCTTTCAGTTTTAAGTTTGCTTTTGATGCTGAAACAGTATCTGCAGGTCATAAGGAGTCCAAATAAGTAAAAAAAAAAAAAAAATTTACTGGTTTGCTGCCTTCTTTCACTTGAGCAGGGGTGATGTCTGCTTGAGCTGACTGCTCCAGTTCTCAGTCCTCTTCTCTGTTTCCATCGCTATTCCAGGTTGGAAATTCAATCAAAATAAGTTTCAAGGCATAAGTTCTTCAATTCTTTCTTCAAAATTCATTTTCAAACAATATCAATTAATTAAAAGGTTATAATTAGGTGTAGGAACATGAATTTTATCTCAATTCAAGCAAGGAGCAAGTCTAGGTCAATATTTAAGCTTCCCCTTTCTTTTTCTTTATTTTCTTCTCTTTTCTCCTGTTTCTTTATTTTCTTTCTTTTTCCTGTAGATATTTTCTCTCTCTCTCTCTCTCTCTCTCTCTCCTTTTATATGCAACAGAGGCACTCGTCTCTCATATCTAATACTATCTATATAAGTAAATGTAGTGAGTGTTCTTAGGCCTCCAAATCTCCATCCCTAATTTTTTTTTATAAAATTTAAAAATTTTAAAAATTAGTGGCACTTATTTCTAAAGCAAGTTTTCAACTCACTCCTCTCTCCTCTATTCCATTTAAAAATAAAATTTGTTTATTTATTTATTTATTTATAATTTAATAATAATAATATGCTCTTAGAATAATAGCTATCCCAATACAAACTCATCAAAAAGAAAGGAAAGTTATCCGAACTCACTCCTCTTTCTTCAATTCCATTTAAAAATAAAATTTGTTTATTTATTTATTTATTTATAATTTAATAATAATAATATGCTCTTAGAATAATAGCTATCCCAATACAAACTCATCAAAAAGAAAAGAAAGTTATCCGAAAATTCAAAAATATGTGAATTGGGAATCTACACAAAGATAATCTATATTTATCAACAAAATTCAAAATAAAGAAGATTTAAATTTGAATTTGAATATATAAAGATAATCTATATCTATCTATCCAATCTCACACCTTTCTCTTTTTCTATATAAAAATTATGTTTCAATTAATTGTAAACACATACAAAACTATTGACGAGATCAAACAAGGCTATTTGTATTCAAGTTCATAGATTTGGCCACCAGAACACATCGTATTTTTTGTTCTACTATTTTCAAGCTATTTATTTTGAACAATAAAGGCCAGAGCATCACATGGGTTGTCATAATATATATATCTGTTACAAGTGGGAGGTGGCATCTCCATTGGTGAGATGTATGTTTGTTTTGTCTCTATTAATTACATCACTAAATGAATCTATATTAACAGTAATTAAGCTAGGTTAGTATTATTTAATGAAGTTTGGGCCGCTAATCACACTTAACCTAATTAATAATTATTAGACTTAGGGGGTGTTTGATAACATGATTAAGCATTTAAAACTAAATTGATTAAGTGATAATCAATTAAACTTGTTTGATAACCACAATTGATATCACTTAAAAATGTAAGTGCCTCCTATAATATAGGCTAAAACTTAAGAAAATTTTAAGTCATATGAAACTTATTTAATTCTGACTGAATTTATAAATATTAAACACAAGTATCGATATACACTATTATAAACTCATCACTACCGCCACCGCTACAACTATCACTACCACTACCACAACCATCATAATCATACCACCCCACTGTCACCACCACCACCGCTACCACCACCACCACTATGCCACCACTACCACCACCACCACCATCATCATCACCACCATCACCACCAATATACTTTGTTTGGTTTTAATTTTTTGGAAATTGAGTTTTTTGTTTTTTGTGAATATTTTAAAATTTTAAGTAATTTTTTTTATTTTTTAGATGCACCTTACCTAGATGTGTCTAAAAAGTAAAATGTTTGTAAAAAAATATTTTAAAAAATCAATAAATATACAAGAATACGAAATGTATTGAATTTTTGTTTTTTTTTTAATTATATTTTTGGCATTTAGTGAATTTTTTAAAGTTTTTTTTCACAAATATTATACTTTTTAAGTGTGTTTATGTCAGGTGTATCTAAAAATTTTAAAAAAATGCTTAAAATGTTAAAAAAATTCAATTAAAACAAAAAAAAACGGAAAACATAAAGCTCTAATTTTTTGAAAAGCGAATCCAGAAAATTAGAACTCTACCACTGCTACCACCACCACCACCACCACCATGCCATCGTTGCCACTACCACCACCACCACCATCACCATCATATCACCACCACCACTACTACCATCATCTTCATCACCATTGTTATTGTTGCCATAAGTATCACCATCATTTTACTACCACTACCATCGTTATCGCTACCACCACCACCACTACTATGCCACTACCATCACCATCACAGCATAAAAATTGAAATATACAATTTCAAATTTAATCTTATACATATTAAATAACTTAGGGGCTGTTTGGAATGACCTAAATAAGTATACTTTTTGTCTTTTTACGAAAAGATGTGCAGAAAAGTAGAGAGGTGATGTGATGGAAAAAAGATAAAATGATAAAAAGATGGATTATTTATCATATGCCAAACTTGGCCTTATTTTTAATTCAGCACTTAAATTTTTACCAACCAGCTTTTCAACTTAAAAAATTCAGCATTCAATTTTCAATACTTAATTTTTTCAATACTCAAGATTAGTGATAATTTAGCGCGATTAGTGGACTTAATCAAGATTAATTAAGGTGGTGTTTGATATTAAAAAAATAAATACATTAAAGTGGTGTTTGATAAAGCTGAAAACTGAACATTGAAAATTAAGTCCACAAAAATGTCAAGCACATTAGACTAAAGCTATTAAGCACATCGATTAGAAAGATATAAACATGTATGAATGTATCAATAGTATGGAGTCTTTGAAATTCACATTAATTCTTTTTCTGTTTCTTATCAATAACACATATAGGAACTCAAACTACAAACATAGCATAGCAAAGCATATAAGTGTATTTTATTCGAATAACAAGTACTTCTAAGTCATGCCAAAGGATTATCAAAGCATACCTTTAAGTGTTTCATATATCAAAGAAGGCAAATTTAACTCTAGGCATTCCAAAAAAAAAATGAGAGATATGTACATGTTATGCAATAGAAACATCTGGGTGTTACATCATGATGTGAAAAAGGGAGGAAAATGTTCCACAATTGGTGTTGCATGTTTTAGAGGGTAGAGGAGATTGTCAACCACCACTTGCTAAATTCTGAGGTTCCTAGAGAAGATTGGAGTCCATTGGGTTATGCTTGTTACTTTTCTTCAATCTTGGGTTATGTGGTTGTTGGCTCAATGACGTGTTTGAAATAATCCAAGCTTGGATGGTACTGCTGTTTGTCTCATGTGTTATAATTGGAGTGAGGGAGGAAGAGGCAAACTTTTGAAGATCTATAGATGCAGGTTTGTAGGTTAAAGACAACAATACTTAAAGCTTGTCAGTTTGGATCACTAGAGAATTTTCTGTCTCTTTAATCTTTACGTTTCTTTTCTAGATTTTATAGGAGTTGAATTTTTTGGAGTGTAGTGGCTTGGTGGTTATAGGCTTACTCCTAAGTGGTTTAGTGTACTAGAGGTCACGGGGTTCGACTCTCACTGGTGGTCATTCGGGGTGAGAGACCGGTAAAGTGGGGTTTTGGTAGTGCTATTTATGCCTACTTATAGACACCAACCTAGGGATTACCTGAGTCGTATTTACCGCCCCCTGAACTAAATTGAAATTTTTTGGATTGTTGAGATTTTAAGATATCATTGAGCATGATGGTTTTCACAAGATGAGGAAATGTGATTTTCTTTCAAAAAGGCATAGCATAGCATGGCATGTGCATTTTATTTTTTGAGACTTGTATAAAATGTATATACTTTGTTAAGAATTTCCTATTGGGCTTTATGCTCACCCTATGGGATTTTGGTGCAGGAAAAGATGTGGTGATTCCGCTGAATTAGGACGTAGATGTATATGTTGAGAGCACAATGTTCTTGTTTTGTTGTGGTGTA